GCCCGCCCACCACCGCCACCGCCCCCCGCCGGCGGGGACCGAGACTCCCAGAAAGGGGCGGGGGACCGGGGAGCCATCGGGACCCGCCACCGCGCTGCTCCCAAAGCCGGGGCGCCTGGAGCCGGCAGACGAGCCGATAATACAGAAGACGACGTCGGCTTTATTCCCAACAGACCAGGATTTGCACCCTCAGATGGGTTCCTTGTCAAGGCAGTCGTCCCGGAAGGCTGGCCGCTATTCCACACGTGCAGGGATAATTCCTTTCGGAATCCTCCCGGGCTGTTTTCAGAATAGCCTCGGGGTGGCAATTCTCAGTCCTAACGGACCCAGGTAGGATCCGGTCTGATGAAGCCACTCAGCAGTCCCTGCGCCCACGTAGCCCCACAGCGCGGCGGCGCGGCCACGCCAGGGAGAAACATACGTGACGCCTGCGAAAGAGAAACAGAAATGAGAACACGTTCCCGGAAAGGAGAAGGACGCTGATGGGATCGAGGAAGTGGCACACCTGAAGGTAGGACTAGAAGTGAATTTTTAAAAAGAAGAAGAAAAAGACAGGAAGGAAATCTAACCAAAAACCATCACGTGGTTACATTAAAATAACTAAATTAGATTAAATTTCTACTTTCTACTTTTTTGTATTTTCCAATTTTTCTTAAATGGCTGTGGCAGTAATTTTACAATGACTAAAAACTATTGCAATAAACCTCACATAAGGGAATAGTTCGTCAGATTTAGGCAGTGTTATCTATATTTCAAGTTGATTCCTTTCTCAGAGTTGCATATCCAAGTGAGTCAAGTATAAATAGCAAGTAATATTTTTAAAGGGGGTTGTCTCTGAGGTTCCTGGCAGCCACAGCGAAAGGGAGAGAGAGATGAATTTCATAATTCTACAGAGAAAGCATGGAGCATACCAATTTCTACTTCAAGAGAGTCCAACTTTATCTCACACCTAAGTTTAAATAAGATCTCTGGTTTTTATGTGCAGTTTAAATTGGCTCTGAAGGTGGTGTCAAAGGGGATAATCTAGAAATTTTGAGCAAAAGCAGTTCATTCTCATAAGTATATTTCCTCCTACAGTGGCTGGTGTGAAGGGGACAACCCTCATTAAGATGTCTGAAGATCAAATGACCCAGCAGTGGTCCCAGCTCAACGCTGTCCTCTGAGGAAGATGCAGGCCAGGCTGGAGTTGGAGCTGTGCTGCGCCCAGGACAGATACTCCCCACTGGGGCAGGAGAGGCCAGCCCACATAAGCTGTAAGTCACTTTTGGCATCAGCACTCTGGTACCGTAAGTACATTTCTAGGACCATAAATGCATTTCAGGTACCATATGTGGACCACTCAGGCCAAATCACGCTCGGCAAGAAGCTGTTCCCAGGCTCTCACTGCATATTCTTGTCAGGAAGAGTCTAACATCTAACGATTGCGTTTAACTAGCAGTCCTTCCAACCGCAACACCACTCACTTCTGTTACTTTCATCGCTTCTGATTCCTAAACTTTGAATGATGGATGACATCATTCTCTGCCTTCTTAAACAGGACTCTAAATATAATTTCTTTCTTTCTTTTTTTTTTTTTGTGAGGAAGATCAGCCCTGAGCTAACATCCATGCCAATCCTCCTCTTTTTGCTGAGGAAGACTGGCCCTGGGCTAACATCTGTGCCCATCTTCCTCCACAATTTATATGGGACGCCGCCACAGCATGGCCTGACAAGTGGTGTGTCAGTGTGCACCCAGGATCTGACTTGGCCGCCAGCAGCAGAGCCCGGGCACTTAACTGCTACACCACGGGGCCAGCCCCTATAATTTCATTTTTTCCATGCCTCGGGATCATGATTACAAACACTGCTTCCTGTGCTGTGAAGTGCAGCTGTGGCTCCAGGCAGCACTACTGTGTTCCCCATCTGCTCACCAATCCATGCAGCCCCAAATATGGTGGTTACCAGCAGTGGGTTGGCTCTGCTGACTCACCTGCTGCACCACCAGCACCCTGGTGCAGCACCGTCTCCCTTCACTTTTGCAATGGCCTCCTGACAGGTCCTCTCACTCCTGCCTTGGCTCCCTACATTCTTTCTCGTTTTATATAAGGTCAGATGATGTCACTCCCCTTTAAAATCCTCTATGGTTTTGTTACCACACAAAATTGGGGTTCTCTTGCCTGATGCACATAAAGAGCCAAGTATTACGGCATCAGCTTTTGGGAAAAGAAAACAGCTTTATTGTGAGATCAATCTGCAAGGAGACGGGGGCATATGCTCTCAGATCTGTCTCCCCGGTCCGGGGCTCAGGGCTAGGGGCACAATGTATGGGATGAAGGGCACGGCGGTCTGAAGTGTGGAGCTAGATGATTGGAGGTAGGGAGAGGTGAGGTAATGATGAACTGCAACAAGCGTAGTCAAGCTGCATGCCTCTTCATAGGCCACGTCTTCACAAAGTGGCGGCTGTTACCATGAGCTGAGGGTGCGGTTTTCAGCCCTTTGACGTCAAAAGGGTCACTTATCAGGCATCTGCGCAGGCCCAGTGGATGGGTTGGTGGTCTCAGCCAGCCTGAACTGGACAAGGGGGGAACACTTAGATCCTGAAAAACCACTCTGAATTACCTGTGGATAAGACGGGGTCAGCTGAACTGGTCCTTATCGGCCTGTGGTTACAGTTCCCCAAGGTCTTTTCAATAGCCTGCAAAGTCCTACGTGATCTGCCCCCTCTCTAAGCTCAAAACCTAACACTGTCCGCTTGTAATTCTCCTTCAGCCCCAACGGCCTCTCTGCTTTCCCTTGGCCTGGCTTCGTCCTCCTCCACAGCACATCTCACAGCCTGAAATACCACGGGATTGCTTGTTTGTGTTGGACCATCTCATCTCACTGGACAGGGACTTGTTTTATTCATGCTCTTGCCTTGGTGCCCAAAGCAGTGCCCAGTCCTCCTGGGTGCTCAACAGACAGAATGAATGTGTGAACAAGAAAAGCATCAGGTGGGGGTAGGTGCTGTGCAGAAGACTAAACAGGGTGCTGGGAGGGCAGGCAACCCACTGGGTGGCTAGTGGCTCTAGTCATCTAAGGAGGCGATATCTAAATTGATATAGCCTTTTGGCTGAAAGTCAAAAAGGGACCAGATGTGATGAGGCAAAGAGCATTCTGGACACAGGAAGCATCTACTGCAAGCGCCCCAAGGTGGGAAGGCACTTGAGGTAGTGGGTGCACAGAAGGTGAGGGGAGGAGGGTGCAGGGTGACGGCAGGGAGGCTCGGGAGCCTGGGTGAGGAGCTGGGATTTCATCCTAAGCACATCCAGTTGGCTCCCAGTCTTTGCATCTCCTCTTCAGCTTTCTGCAAGCTGCTCCATCCCCCACCCCCCCATCCCCC